ATTTTAGGATACAGTCACAAAGTCTGTGATACCGCTTTTAGAAATGCAGGCCAGGTTATGTTTAATTTATTAATGGTTTGGAGACATAACGATTTACTTAAAAGTAAGTTACAAATAGGAGGCTTGTGTAAATGATCTGGGTTTACTCTGTTTTTTCCCCTTTAGGCAGAGCTCACAGTTTGGAGATGAGAAGACGTTTAGCGATTCATCATTGCTGGAAAATCTCCAAAATAATCATGTAAGTGACGTAAAACCATCACCTTTTCATTAATGAATGAAAACTGATGGGTATTTCTCTGAATTATCTTCCATGTTTATATATTTCTCTTTTTTTACTTACATGATCATTTTTAATAATTATCGATTTCAAAATCTATTCTGGTTGAATCCTTTTTGCTTGGCCATCGTGAATTCATGGTTAGAAATTTAGTTTTAGAATTGTCATTAATCAATACTCTAAATCTTTTCAAAGACAATTATAGAATTCTCTGTGAAACAATTATAGAATTTTCTGTGAAACAACTCCCTATTAACAATTTCCGAACATCTGTAGGAATGAATTATCTGCTCAGTATCATAGCCCAGTGCCAAATCTACACGGACACTCGCGATGTCTACCACCCAGTGTGAACTTCCTGCCTACGAAGGAAGTTACTGGCACGTATCAGATTCTGTAAGATCGAATCATAGTGTCTCCTAGAGTTTCAGCCCCATAACTTTTTCTCACAGTCGCTTTAAGCTCAGTGTGTCAAAACTCGAATTCATAATTGTCACCCCAAAACGTGTAGCTGCTCAAACACAGGTAGACTCACCACCTCCGCCCCTGAGTGGGGCCCTAGCGGTGTGTTCATACGAGTATTTTTGTATCCTTGTTTTTTTAAGAGAGCCGTCAACAAAATACCCGCTTCAGGATCAACAAAACCTAGATCTAGACCACCTCTTCCCTCTACGTTCTCAGTTTCAGTGAACAGTAAGATAGGCCGTCGCCTATCTTACCGCGCTTTCTGGAACTTGGGGATTGCCTTTGATGCCTCCTTTCTCTCCACATCTGGGTCTGTAATGAGTCGCTGAGCCCTTGTGAATGCTGACGTCTGGAGTCTGTCCTGAGTGTCTGCTGCAGCTCACGCTCGCTTTCACCGCCCGGCCCAGACCACCGGCATCGCCTCCTTGCTGTCCTAGCCTCCTTGCTGTCCTAGCCTCCTTGCTGTCCTAGCCTCCTTGCTGTCCTAGGCTCCTGACCATCCCCTCGGTTCCGGGCTTACACCTCTCCAGCTATTGTTGCCCGTGGCAGCCGGAATCCTGCAGATGGCAACCAAGTCCCATCACTGTCCTGTTGCAAACCATTCTCTGCCTTCTCTCTCCTCTCACAAAGATCTGGCCCCTGCCTACGTGGTCACCCTCACTTTGAGCTCCTTTTCCTTCCTTTCTCCTTAGGCCACACTGGCCTCCTCTGGTGTTCCCAAACACGCTTCGCTCTTTCCTTCTTTGGGACCTTCTCTGGCATGCCCCGTTCCTGCGTGTTGGAAAACACTTGGCTCAGTTCTTCATGAGGCTAGAAGAAGCTCGTCAGCTTAAACGTTACATTATCTTGATTAAAAACCACGGACTCGCCCGAGTAACGTTACACGGTATTTGCGCCTTGCCTCTGGAGTCCTTATCACACTATAAATAAATAACGCTTGTGTATTTATTTCCGTTCTGTCTTCCCCGCAGTCTAAGCTTCAGGTGGCAGGGACTATGCCTATTTTGCTCACTTTTCCAACCTGAACACAGTTTTTCCAAATAATGTTCTGATTTACCTTTCCAATCACTTCACTTTACTTATTTATTGCCCAAGAGCATAGAAAAAATGATTTTCCTTTATTAATTTGGATGACATTCCCCTTTATAGAGAGCTAGACAGGAAGATATTTAATTTAAAATGTTTGGCTACTTTTCTCCCATAAACTCTAAGCTCCTTGCAGAAAGGATCCACCTTTCGATCTTCCTCAGGCCATGAAAGTCCACTGGACGTAGTTGCTCAGTTATTTATTTTTATTTAGTAAAACACAGACCAGGCTAAGGTTACCATTTTTGGAGAGAGGGAGGACATCGCTCCAAGTAAAACTAAGGGAGTGAGATGATATACCTAAAGTTTAAATCGGATCAGGAATTACGACCAGGTAAATGAACGTTTCCCTAAGGACAGGATTTAACCGTATCTGCCTTTTTCACCATACAATTTCTATTTGACAAAATAAATGAGAAAGTGTAAGAATGAATAATTTGAGTTAAAAATATTTTTTTCTTTTTAATAGATGTTGGTTTCTTAGTTGGCTATAATCCCACACGCCCAGTGTTTAAAAGCTACATTCTTAATAGACAGCAAGTCTTACTGTCATTAGTGTTTAAGTGAAAAGGGCTGAATTTTGTGTTTATTCCTCACAGCCAACCGCACCCGTGATATGTGAATTTCTGACGATGATGGCTATCTGTCACACAGCGGTGCCAGAGCGGGAGGGGGATAAGATCATTTATCAAGCAGCATCTCCAGGTACAAGCGAAGCATTTGTGAAGTATTTTTCTGTGGAAAATCGTTCCAAAATTTGG